GTACCTCTCCTAGCACAGAAAAAGGCAAAGGCTTTGGAAAAGATTTTACACTCAACCATAAGCACTCAGCTCCAGGAAAACCCTCTTGTCCTGGACAGGGGCCCAGAGAGGCAGAACAGTCCCTGGCCTTGAAGATGTACAAAAGCTGACTGGACCGCATTCAGACCACATGGACCTTGCTCTGAAGTTGGCTGTGCTTTGAGCAGGGACCTGGACTGAAGACTCCCTGAGTGGGAAGCTCACTTGCTCAGTTAACAGCAGGGCTCTTCTGAGCAGGCACAGAGCACACCAAGGGGCAGAGCTCTCCTCCTTGGCTCACTGGCATGAGATACCCACACTACAGAAGCATCTGGCTCCATCCCTAAGCTGGCTGCCCTTTGGATCCAGGAGAACAGCTCCCCTCTTGACAGCATTCCCAAGGGCTCACAGATCAGTCAAACAGAGAGGCAAAAACAATCTGCAGGAAAACTGAGGTGCTGGAGTGAAATGCTGATTGGTTTGCATGTGAATGACAGTAAGAATGCACTTACATCAACGTTTGGGTCTAGAAAACCCTCTTCAAGGGTTGAAAGTAGCTCATAAGAGTCTTACGAAGCAGAGTTCTTGGCAGTGGGGTGGTGTCTGCAGGAGAAACACCAGTTCCCATTGACACTGAGAGGATGAGAAAAATCCCTCCTCTACACACAGAGACACTTCTGGATTGGGGTCCTGTAAGGAGGGATTTTATACCCTCATCTGGAGACCACCACTGAAAACAAGGGATTTAGAAAGCTCCTTTATAACCCCCAACATCAGAGCAAGTAAATGTGCAGCATCTCAGATGTTTTGCTGAAGAGATGAAGTGCCATGACTTCATCTCTTTTGTGAGACTCCAACTAATTCCCCTACACATACAAATCAGACTTAAATGCTTCCTGTGCTCTCAGCTCTGAGACCTTTACTTTCAAACAGACTGTTACTAAGAGCTTCCACCAAATGGCTAAATGCAGTAATTGTGCTCAGTTTGGCCAAGACTTTCTTTGGCCTTTTCTCCCTCACTGCAAAGCTTAGCTCTCCCTAGAAGTGCAGCATGTGGGGAGTAAGGACTGAGCTGCAGGGATATGGGTGGAAGAATGATGGGGTTTGTTGCTTGTAAATGTTTTCAGGACCTCTTCTGAACTGAGAGCACTTGAACTTGCCCGGACCCTCAGACTGTGCAGCAGTGTGGTGGAGGAGAGGAGAGTTCTGCCAGCAGGAAACTCAATCCTGAAGTCCTTGTTCAGGGCTATGTATTTCAGGACTGGCATGAAACTAGGGAGGAGCAGCCAGAGCCACAGGAGGAAACATCAGAGAGTTCTCTTGGAATAATCCCTTCCATGGAGAGGGGTTCAAGCAGCTCTTCCAGATTATACCTTCCAAATCCCCGGGATCACTAAGAAAGAGGCTGAGTTGTTGTTTCCACAGCCTGACTCTGGAAACTGCACCCACGAACACGTGCACAGACATGGGCTCAGCACTGGATATGCCCCTGTTTGCACATATGTGATCTAGAGGTGTGCCTGCACCCAGAGAATCCCCACACACAGTGCCTGGCTAGTGGCCTTCTAAGTAATCACTGAATCCAACAACACTGCCTGCATTCTGTGCTCCTGAAAGGAGCCCACTTATGTGCTGTTAGACCCTGTGTGATGATTATAGATGATAAACAGCATTATTTTGGGGCCTGATTACCTCTGCTTTTTCATTCTGTCACTGCTGTGTGAAACCGTCTCAGTGTCATCTGTTCCATGAGCAGCAGCAGTGTGAAGATACAGAATCCTCTGTAAGGAAGGGCCAAACCTGCAGGGTAACGGAAGAGCTGAGGCACAGAGTGAGCTGTGGCAGGCTTCTGCCTCCTGAAATGTGAAGTCTTTAAGATGCCCCTGAGCACCTACAAACCCCAAGGTCAGAGAGTGCTGGGAAGTGGATTTCATTATCCAGCTGTAAACCCCACAGGCAGGAAAGCAGCAGCAAGGAACCGGTTCACCTGAGCTCTGCTCAAGGCCCTGCTATCCTGCAACTACCACAGAGCTCAGGATTTTAGGAGCCTGAATAAAGTCAAGTCATCTAAAGCAGCAAAATGGCACATCAGCCCTGTCAGTACCATGCGTGAAGCTGGGGAAACCCCTTCCCACACCAGCCAGCAGCTGACTGCCTTCAGATCAGGACCTGGAGATGCCTCAGGCTGGATGCCAGAGCACAGACCTCTAACTTCTGTTTCAACACACTTACCAATCCATCATCCCAAAGACTGCAGTCACCTCCCAGCCATGTGAATAAACAGACAACACTAACCCCTAGGGGGAGGATGTCATTGTCCCTTACAGAAGATGGGATAGGGCCACTTGAAGCTCAGCCAGTCTTTCCCTTTACTTTGGCTAGACTAAGGTCTTTTCTTCCTTCCTCCCTTCCTTCCTGCTATCTCCAATCAAGTATTCGCTTCCACCATAACCATTCCCTCTTCCCTTGCCTGCCTGCTCCATGCCTGTCCTCTCCCTACGATGCTCAGGTCTCTCCCATTATGGTTCTCCTTGCGCAATCCCAGTATTGTGTGCTATGCTGGTTTGGAGAATGGGAGAAGCAATCCAACTTCACAACCCCAAGACTCTCATGCTGGACTCCCACTGGCACCAGTTAAAATGAGAGAGAGAGAACTGGGAATGCCTGGACAGGCTGTGCAGTTTTCCTGCTAGTTCAGGACGCAGGGGGGAAGGCTGAGAGGCAGAAGGAACAGCGGGTTGGCAAAGCTGAGGCTCACAAGCAGCCCTGCCTCCCTCCACACTAACCCCATCATGACCCAGCTCCTCAGAGACAGCCACTGCCTGGGACAGAGCAATCTGGGAAAGAACCAGTTCTTTAAGCTTTATTATTGAATAAATAAATCACTCCAGCTATCACGAGGCCCTGAAGCCAAAGTGGCCAAGCAAAGGATAGGAGAAGCCAGAAAAACTTCAGCGAGAACAGGTAACAAGAGACATGTTTACCACAGAAGAGAGACAAGGCTTCTAATCCAAGCAGGCTGCTGCACCACAGACATTCCCCATGGCCTGGTGTGGCTCTCCAGAGCTATTTACACGTACAGGCAGGGAGACGCCGATCCCTGGCTGGGGAACAATCAACTTTTCTTCTCTCCAGACCAGCAAAGCCAAGATTTTCGTAAACACACAACCCCCAAAAATGTGCCTGCGGATTGGGCAGAGCAGAGCCGCTGCTCTCCTGCCAAGCAACAAAGCCCTTCTCCTGTGGGTGGTTTCATGGTGAGGTTTCTGTGGGGAGGAAGTGCTTCGAGTGGTCAAGGCAGAGAACAGGGGTTCGGGAGACCTGGATCCCATCCCTGGCTGTAGGAATCAGAAAGCTCTGATTGTAGCAAGCACACACACACTTGCAGGAGTCCCCACCCCTCTCCTTGCTGAGGCACAAACTGCTGCTCTGAGGAACATCACAAAGACACAGATTTGTCCCCACCTGACAACACCTCCTGACCTTGCAGGGCTATTGCAGCATTCATGTGATTGATGCCTGAGAGGCTGTCAGAGTGCTCTGGATGCGAATCACTCTGGGAGGCACTGGAAGATGTGCACATAATGAGAGCAGCACGTGAGAGAGACACGCAGCTCACACACACTCTGCTCCCCTCTGTGCTTGCAAACCTGCACCCAAGCTTGCTGGTTCTGCTGCTCATGCTTTCAAATATCGACAAGGTGGAGTTGGAAATCCTGTGTCTTAAAGCAGAGCAGCCAACGCTGCAGCTTAACAGATGCTCTCACAAACACCCAGCCCACTGCTCTGGTTGCCCAAACTCAGCCCCAAGTCTCTGCATTTCACTCACAAAATCAGGCCAATGTGAAGCAAGACTGAGAGCCCATGGCAAATACTGAAGCCAGGCTGAGCGGCCGTGGCAGATACAACCCAGTCCTACTCACTACTGGTGGGCTGGCACGAGTGACCTCTCAGGCCCTTTGCATTGTTCTCTCTTTGGTTTCATCCCAGACACCATTAACATGCTGTTTATTCCCCTCTTCCAGCTCATTAATGAAGACACTAAAGCAGACTGGACCTCACCCTGATGCCTGTGGCATATCATCAGATAAACACCTCCTTGAAATGGTCCTATCAACCTCTTAGGTAGGACTGCTGTCTTGGGGTGGGCACAGCTATTAGAGATGATGACTTCACTTGCCACACTGCATGGGCTCCATGGGGAGAACCGACCAACTGTACCAACAGGTTTTAAAGAACTAAAGAAAAGAAGGAAGGAATGTCACACTGCCATGGATGGCTCTGTGTTTAGAGCTGGGTTTGCCTGTTTGAAATGTTTTATCCAACTTTTGGGTTTACTTTGTGTCTTAAATTGATCTGGATGCTGTTAGTGCTCCTAAACCTTCTCTTACCTTGTTGGCTGCATGTCAGAAGTGGGTGGCATGAGTCAATCACAATGGACCAGTTTAAAATGTTGTAAGATACTCCCCTCAAGTGGAGGGAATAAAAATCACTCAACCATGTGTCACAGGCTCTGTAGTGAACCTCAGGTAGCAGGAAGGTAATGAGGTGGACACCCACATGAGGTAGAGTCTACCAACCAGCTTAAAAGACATTAGGAGCATAATAAACATACCAGTGAAACTGCAAAACAAACCTTCCCACTCTACTCCAGGTATACAAGCCACCTGCTGTATCAGGTATCAAAGGAGCTTATGCTCTGACAACCAGTCAAGTTACCACACGGATGGCTAATGTATATCCATGACCAGGTTTTGGAACACAAGCCAAGATGAGTGACAAGTGTTCCTACATGGTGTATCAGCAGAAAGGGAAGAGGCAGCTTGAGCAGTGAAATACTCAAGTCCTGTAGAACTCAGGTTTATGCCTTGTATACCTACCAGAGCCTGCAGCAGGGCTGCAAGGGATAGACAAGCACAGAGAGAACCAGACATAGGTTGCAGTGTGTTGGAAGAGCTGGTGTGGGTGGTATCTATACTCACCCTGAGGTTGATGTCTGATCCCATGACCACTGTTTTCCTCAAAGCAGGCAACGGAACACAAAGACTGGATTTCACTGTAGTTTCACAGTTGGGGAGATAGCAGCTCAGCTCCAGACTCTTCTGTGTACACTAAGTGGGAAAACATTTCATCTCCTGCAAAAGAGATCAGAGGGGCTTAGCACAAGGCAGGATTTGTGTCTGTAATTGATCAGTCACCAAAGGGACACAGACGTTTATTACTGACAATGAATTGTGCCAGCGAGGCAGGCGCCTGCAATTACTCCTGTTACATATTATCTTTCATTAACTGTAAAATATATAATTAATAAATGTACCCCCTCATTTTTGTTAAGTTTCACTGTGAAGACCTTATTACTGGAATAAATCTTTCCAGCAGAGCACGTCGACAGCACAGGGGAAGGTGCGCGCTCTGTGTGTGTGAGGATTTCCTTATGAGAACCGGAATTATCAGGGAGAAATAATCACCTCTCTTCATGGCTAAGACTGTGGAGACACCCCATCTGAGACCAGTTGTTTAAGCTCATGCCTCTTGGAAGCAGGCCAGAAGAATCTGCCTTGGCTGGCAAAGCTGACTTGCTCTGAAGGCAGTCAGGCAGACACAAGCTCTTCTCTCACTGGCAAGTCTGGAGAAACAAAACTGAATCTCATTTCTGGATTCACAGGCTGTTAAAGAAGTCTCCTGGCCATAAAGCTGCTCAGAAAGACCTCAGTGCTTAGGCTGATGCTTTTATAAGCCCCATGTTCATCCACCTCACAGTACTGTGTTAGGGCTGCATGACTGTGATTTGCTTGCCGTATGCATCAGACCTGGCTTGATTTGGGGATGTCGGGGGGAGGCTGTTCAACCATCCCAACAAGAACTGCTGCAAAAATGTTGCTGAAATTTGACCCCAAGCAGAAAATTCCCCTTACCTTGTCTCCACTTGTGATCTTTCCCTCGAGATAACTGAGTGCCAGGTAGCCAAGGGGTAATTAAAATGTTTCCAGAGGCTGCTCTGGGCAACACTTTTTGCCTCCCTGCAGGCTACAGATGCTCCTGGTTTGCCCTGGGCTGGTGTTCATTCCTGCCTGGGTTAGCATGGGCAGCAATGCTTGCCTGCTCCATCATCATCCTCCCCACCTGGGGAAGAAGCAGAGGGACCAAGAGATCAGTGGCAGAAGGAAGGAGTGAACAAGCACACACTGTATAGGCAGCAATACAACTTCTGGGCATAGAGAAGACCTAAAGAAGCCCCCAGGAGAAGAAGAGGACTGTATGGATTTGAATGAAACCATATGATTTCACTGTTTGTCTCCCTCCTATTGCTTACCTCTCTCCTGGAGAACACATCTACAGACCTGTGCTGTGGCTTGCTTGGCACCACCACATTCCTAGCTCTATAGCAGGGCAAGTGGGGTAGGAGGATTAGAAAGGCTTTGAGTTCCCCATGGAAAGGGAGAGAGCAGCTTTGAATAACCTTTGCCATAAGAGCCTTGTGGGAGATACCCACATAAAGACCAAGCTGTTGACTTAGAGAGAGAAGGCCAAGCAGTGGAGAAGGCAGCATAAAGAAATACAAGGAAGCGCCTGTAGGGATAGGACAGGGGGAATGGCTTGAACCTGCCAGAGGGGAGACTGAGATGAGCTCTTAGGCAGAAGCTCTTCCCTGTGAGAAGTTCTTCCCTCATTTCCTGGTCATCCACTACCAATCTGCCACCCAATCTGCAGTTGTTGGTGAGAGAAATGCCCAACTCCTGACTCAGAGCAGGTCCTGTCTCAAAAAACTACACTCAGGAACCTGGTACTGCCCTAAATGTAAAGGGGTCCATTCTCCACATGGTTGTAACTCCCACTGAACAATTTTAAACCATCCAACTAATCTGATCACACAAAAACCTTGGAGTCAGCAAATTATCTAGTTAAATGATGCATATAGAAAGGTTAATTCAACAGCAAATGAAACCTCACATTTTGTACTGATACTGAGAAGAAAAGAGGGGCTGAGCACACTGTCCTTGCAGAAAAAATCAGAAGAGTATTTTAGCTCTCACCTACCATGTACCCAACATGCAGTTACAGGGACAGCATGGACTCAGAGTGAGTTTAGGAGTGAATTTGGGATGGAAGCTCTGAAATTGTATTATACAACTACTTGCCCTGGTTTTGTGCAAAGAAAGAGGCTCCTCTATCAGCCCACTTCCCCAGCGAGCCCTCTGCATCAACTGTCTGTACAAAAGTGGAATTTAACTTTCCTGTATGAAAGGGTAACAATTCCTTGCATGTGATGTCCTATCCCTCAGCCATGCGAGCACAGGCGCTGCCGATACCAGGCGCAATTCCATCCCTTAGGATCCCTGCTGGGTCAGAGCAGGAACACGGGAAAGCGGTGATGGAGGAGTTCAGCAACTTCACTCTCTGGCTCTTGGGCTGCAGAAGGGGGAGGGAGCAGGGATGCAAAGCATCTGGCTTCCCTGTGCCTCTAACAGCCTGGCGGGAAGGCTGCTGTCAATTCCGCCTTCTGCCTTGTTGGAAGAAAGTAGAAGTGACAAGAGGCCCTGCAGGCAGGCAGCCAGGAACCCGGAATTCAATTGAGCCTCTCCTGAAACCGGACTTCTTTTGGGAGACCCTTTCCCTCAAATTGTTCTGACTTAAAAAAAAACAGGCAGAAAAGGATATTCCTCGTGGTTCACGGCTAATCCATCCCCCTGCTCTCCTGGCTCAAATTCCCTCCAAGAAAGCACAATTTGCACAACAGGGCTCCTGTTTTCTGGACTGCTCTACAACCAGCCTCCCCCATGATAAATACACAGCCACATCGATATGCACACACACGTGTGCACAGCTACAAACGTTAGTTTCTATAGACATAGGCATTGCCACAGACAGACAAACACTCTGGTGTGTTTCTTTGCTGTGTAACACGCAGGGGAGAGGCGACACAGCAGCTGAATTTACCCCACGCTCGCAGATTAGGAAACAGAGTGTGGGACATACGGTCTATCTCCAGGGCTTAGACCAACTGGTTATTGGCTGCTGCTCTTGTTCCTCTAACGAGCCCCTGGATCTATCACTGGGGCTGCAGAGAAATGCAGCTGAATGAGCCTTTCCCCGTCAGCAGCAATCTGTCACCCCATGTATCTTACCCTGCCTCTCACAGCACAAAAGCTCCTGAGCTGCAAGTCAGCATCAGAAGAAAGGTCATTCTGCAGGTAGGCTGGGAGGGGGGGGTTGTTCTTCCTTTCTGGGAATGTGCAGCCAGCTTGAGGCACCGTCTGGATGCTGCAGCGTGAATTTCAACTTCACATATGCCTATAATTTAAAATGAGAGAGCATTTCCATTACAAACCCCATTTTTCCCCATGGATTTTTACCATAGCTATTCGGCTTCGCTTCGGGGTGGACCTTCACTGAATATATTCACAGGCAGGGAGAACCTATATTTTCTTGTACAACATTTAAATCCAGCTCAGCCTCTTTTGGTTTTAAGATGGTGAAGAAAATTAGGTATGCACACAAACACTCAGGAGCACATACAAAAAGCTTACACAAACATATGCCCACAGAGAGCTCTGTTCCAAAAAAAAGACAAGCCAATGCAAATAAGCTCCATTTTAGAAGTGAATTCATTTGACTGACTTTATTATTCTGAATTATTAACAAGTTCCAGCAATCTTAGAATGCAATAACCACGCTCCAGCTTTCATCTGGGTTAACTGGAAACAGATAACTTATACTGATAGAAATGCTATCAGTACAAATCTGCCGCAGCGAACGTGGAGGCAAGAACCGGGCACACAGGAGCCCCTCTCTGCATTAACAACCCCTGTACTGGAATATTCCAGCACAACGAATCATGGTCCAATGCCAGAACCCCCCTGTTTTCAGGAAGGCCAACTGAAACCTGACCTCTGCACATTCAAAGCTGTTTATGACTCGGTCTGCCTTAGTAAGCCCAGTTTTGGTGGGGTTTTTAACTCTTTATTAATGCTACTTTGATGCAGTCCAATAAGGAGCACTGAGAGAAGCAATTTCTTGCTGGCTGGTGCCTCTGGTTCTCAGAAAGCTTCTATGGCATACGTGAAGAGAGGTTAAGGACCTGGCACATAACATACAGGTTATCCAGTTACCCCACACTTACCAGTTTCATTCAAACAATCTCCATAACTGAGATTAGGAATGAGCTCCTGTTTCTCCTGCTCACAAGCAGCAATAGGTAGGATTCTCTCTACGCACCACATCGGAAAGTTGGGAAGTGTGAGGAGGATTTTCCCAGTCTCGAGAGGAAAAAGTTGCCAAGTGGTCACTGAAAGGAGACAAGCGTTTCCCCACTGCTGATGGCACAGAAAGCAGTCTTGTGGCCTCAGAGCAGGCACAGGAACCAGCAGGGCTCGAGCGTCTGGAACTGCCAAGATGCCCTTATTCGCATCTGCTGCACACTAAATGCAAACTGCTCCAGTGCCACAAAAATGTAGGTTAGGCAGCTAAGAACCACAGGATCATAGAATTCTTTGGGTTATAAGGGACCTTAAAGATCACCCAGTTATCACGGATGTATCCTACCAGCTGGAGACACTGCTGATGTCCTCACCATACACTGTATTCCCTCTTCCATCCTTGATTTCACATGCATACCTCACCCCTGAGGCTAGGAAAACACTGCCTACAAACATCATTCAGGGAAGATGTTTAGTAAAACCCCCAGTGCTCAATGGCTCTGAAGTGCAACACAACAGTTTTCCTGCTTCTTTCTAGGAGGGCAGCAGGGCAGGGACTGTAAAACTGAACTCAACTTAGCCCCAGAGCACTTTAAAGTTCCTGTTGCATTTTCCATCTAAATCCAGCAAATCCCCCCACTAAGCAACAGCCCAGGTAGCCACAAACACTGAACCACTGACTGCAGGGGCAGTGGGCAGGTTTCAGACAGGGTGTGCACAGTGGGACAGCAGCTGAGAGCAGAGCAGTGGCCTTCCAGGGAGGGAATGCCAGCTGACAGCGGTGCTGGGAGCTGGGCCCTGCGCAGGAGGCATCTGGGAGCTGCTGCATTCCCATTCCTCTGAAGTGAAGCTTCCTGCACTTCCGAAGCACTGATAGAGTTTCAGTCCTCAACCAGCTGGAGCTCGGGGCAGGGGACTCCCTCTGGAGAAGGAGCTGGAGCTCCTCCCCAGGGAGGAAGATGAGGGGTGGTTTATGAGAGGCTGCAGCCACTGCTGCACATTGCAAGTGACAGAGCAGAGAGGGGCATCAGGTACCCCCCCGGGTACCTCCTGCTCCAATGGGAGTATCGTGTGGTGGAAATGCAGCTCATCCCTCACAAAAGGAAAAGAATGTAAAAGAAACCTAAACCCACCTGGATCTGCTGCTCTGCTCAGGAGAGACACCACAGCTCATCCAGCCTCTCTGCAAAGCTCCCAGGGAGCCCTGGCTGCAAGAAGGGCTTAGCAGGGGGCAAGGCACATTTCATCACCATCAGACCACGGCACCTCACTTCAGCTGCTTCCTTCATAAAGAGAAGACCTGAAAAGCTTTGTCTCCTCACAGAGAACCCTGCATAGCACCAAAGAGAGCAGGATTTCCTCCCCCATTCATTGCACATGAGTTCTGCGGGGAGGTGGTCACACACAGGGATGATGGACAGGCGGATGGAGGGCTGTAAGCGTGGCAGACAGGCTGGAACACAGGCAGGCAGCCTGCTGAGGGCTGTAGGTTTGAATCACGGAGCACCAGGGGCAGTGCCACAGCCCCGGGTGATAGGTGATGGACACCGGAGTCTGCACTGCCTCACATCGCACAACAGCGAAGGCCCAACCTGTGACCCCCCAGCACGTGCCTCGCTCAGTGTCTACCAGAGCTCCCATATGGCAGTTGCCGAGTGATCTGCACCACTGGGGCCTGTCAGGACAAACACACCAGGCTTCCTGGCATTCCACCCAGGAGTTATGAAGCTGTCACTTGCTCAGGCTGTCTCCGAACCGTACCAGCTTTTCACCTGATAGTCATTTTTGGATGCTGTTGCTGAGAGGCACTTCTGGAGCTTCAGGACCTGCTTGGGGAGAATGAGGCCAAATTCCCAACCTTTCTGCCTCCCACTTTTTCCCTTTTCTGGAAACTTTTCCCATGCTAAGTATAGTTCCTAACAGGTGCAGGACCAGAGGGGACTGTCAGGGGTGCAGCTGTCCCCACAGAGGCCTGGATCTATCTCCATCTGTCTCACTGGAGTTAGCCATGCTGTCAAGCTGGGCTGTTCGGACACAGGATAGGGGAGCATCAGAGATGCAGGCAGAGAGGAGATACATGCACACACACAGACAGAGGGAGGATGGTTATTCCGGGGACTGCCACAAACAAAGCCTCTGACATCAAGCTAATGCATCCTTTGAGGGTTTAAAGAGCCCTTGCTACACGCAGGCAGGCTGCCAGCTAACTCATCTCTCTTCCTTGCCATGCTAACAGCCTGATGCCAAGGTCAGGCTTATAATGAAAGCTGACTGCTTTGTAATCCCCTGTGCCTCATTTGGGGATGCCACAAGACTGGGAAGAATCAATGTAAAAGACACTTGACCAGGGACAGCTCCAGTGTGATGAGTGAAGCTGTTCCCTTGCCCACACAGCTGCAGCCCCGGCTCCCACTCTGCCAGCCCCACACCAGAGCTGTTCCAGCCTGGGGAAAGGGAGCTACGGGTAACAGAGATCCCTCTAACACACCTGAGTGGGATGCGTGCCAAGCAGCGGCAGATCACCGACCTCCAGATGCATGATGGTGACAAGGCGTCCTAACACAGAGCTGCGTGGCCAGACACCAAGTTATCTCGTCACTGTAGGGGATATAGAAATAACAGAAAGAGAGGTAATCCTCCCACAGACTTGTGACCCCCCTCACAAACTGTAGGTGCTTCCTACCCCTAAAGTGTCCTGGTGTCATTTCAGGCTGATGTGACATGAGGGAATAATCACTTTGCAACATTTCATCATCTCCTTGTTAATCGACCACATGTTGCAGCAAGAACAGCTGATCTGTTTGACAGATCTGGGGCCGGGGATGTGCTCTGTGTTAAGAAGCTGGTTTAGCTTAATAGGAGGGTGATGAAAACCATATGCAGGGAGCAGGATGGCACCTTGACATCACCACCACCACCACTGAGACAACAAAGCAGGAGGTTTCTGCATTTAGCCTGTGCCGCCACAGAATATGCTCCATGCTGGGCTTTGGCCACAGGGTCCGAGGTCTGAACTCGGGGAACACAAAGCCCAACTAAATGCCATGGGGTAGTGTCTCAAGCTGGAGGAAATGAGGCAGAATCTGCTCTCAGATGTCTGCCTGGGGCTCAGGGCCACGGTGGGATCTAGGGGTGAGACAGACATGTATAATCTTTGGCAGAAGGAAAATCCATTTCCCTTCTTTAATTCCTGTGTCCCAGTGAAGCCACGCTGCAGGGACCAGCTCTGAAGCGAGCCCAAACAACCCTGCACAGACATGCCTCTCCTCCTAAGGGGCTCCTCAGCAGGGCCAGCAGTACCTGGGGCCTCCCTGCTCAAGGCACACACGTTTCACCAAGGCACTCCTCGGACACCAGCAGGGGTTCCATTGGCAGGAAGAGGAGGATCAGATCCAGATTCACAAACATTGGCTCTGATTACAGGGATGGCACCATGCTAACCTTTCCTTTTCCTTAGCATCTTCTGTCTCAGCCTCTGTCCACTCCTGCAGAGTTTCAGGCCTCTGTGTTGTTACTTTACTCCTTTACAACGACCCCCTTTACAAAGAAAAGCTGACTGAAGCTCTTTGGGTCTCCAAAGACCATTCCATCACGTCAGTGCTGACGTGGCTGGGGCTGCCAGACTGAGTTATCACAGGTCCTGCCCTCCCCTCCTATTAATGCCTACTCACCAAGGGAACACTGGTCCAGTCCAAGCAATGAAGGTCAACTCTAAGCTGCACAAGCCTCCCACAATTAGGGAAGAGGCATCAAAGGGAAATAGAGGAAAACAAATATATCCCAGGCATTTCCCTTTGCCAGACTCCTCTGGAAAGTCACAGACCAGTTCAGACAGCCCCAGGGAGGGAATGAGTTCCAGGGAGACCCAAACCTTTCATGATCAGCTCACCCTGCATCAAGAAGGCTCCAGCCCTGTGTTGAGAAGCACATCATGCTCAACATCTCACGACACCCGTGTCATGCAGCCTGGCATCTCTTTCTGTCCCAGCTTAGCCCCTTCCTGCCCAGTGGAGGGTCACACTCCTGTCCTGCTATCAGGACCTATGTGGTTGTGCAAGCAAAGCAGTGAAGTTGATTCAGAAGCAATACAGGAAC